CAGAGAGAACAAATGTAGAAATCACCAAGTACTGGGTTGTTAAGTACGAAATCTCCCATTTCCTTAAGTACTAAGTCTGACAGCTGATCGCTCCCTGGTTTTAAGTGTGAAGGTGCAACCTTATTCCTTGAAATGCACGTATTGCCTTGTCATTATCTTTCAAATTTTTTAGAACAATTTTTATGAAACCATGGGTACATCAAAAACTAATGTTATTTTTTAATGTGAGTTCCATCATGGAACCAACGCGGTGCAGGCAGCTTGAAAGATCAACAAAGTGTTTGGAAAGGGTGTGACTAATGAGTACACAGTACATACGTACATACGTGGTGTGCGAGGTTCCTTTCTGATGATTCTAATCTTGAAAATGAGCCATGTGGGTGACCTGAGACCAAGGTGGATAATGATGAGCTGGAAGCTGCAGTGGGAAGTGAATCCATCTCAACTGACGTGTCAGTTGCGGCAAGGTTTTACATTACTGCTCGAACAACACTGGACCACTTGAAATGAAGCAAGGTAAAGAAGCTGGATAGATGGGTTCTGCACGAATTAAACCAGTATCATAAGAGACATTGTCTTGAAACTTGCCTTTCTGTGCTGTCATGACTTAAAAGTGAACTATTCCTGCACTGTACTGTTACACGTGATGAAAACGGACGTTTTTTGACAGTTACAAGCATTCAGCACAATGGTGGGATAAAGATGAAGTGCTGAAACACAGCCCCAAACTGACTACTCATCACAAAAAGTTAATGGTCACTCTGGGAGGCCAAGGCAAGTGGATCACCTGAGCTCAGGAGTTGGAGACCAGCCTGAGTAAGGGTAAGACCCCATTTCTCCTAAGAATGAAAAACTAGCTGGGCATCATGGCAGGCACCTCTAGTCCCAGCTATTCAGGAGGCTAAGGCAAGAGGATTTTTTGAGCTTAAGAGTCGAGGTTGTTGTGAGCTGTGATGCCACAGCACTCTACCCAGGGTGACAGTAAGACTCTGCCTCAAAAAAAAAAAAAAAGCTAATGGTGTCTATTTGGTAGTCCAGAGGTGGTATTATCCACTACAGCTTCATGAAAACTGGTTAATCAATGACAGCAGATGTCTACTGCAACCATGCTTGCAATTAAGTAGCCAAGATTGGTCAACAGAGACAGGCTAATCCTCTTATAAGACAACACTCAACCACACATTGCACAAACAACACTGCTCAAACCACACAAGCTGGACTTAGAAACTCTCTGTCATCCATCATGTTCACCAGACCCTGCACCAGCTGACTACCACTTCTTCCAGGCTTTGGACCACTTCTTAAAAATAAAAATATTCAATTCTCAACAAACGATGTAAAGTGCCTTTCACAATTTCATTGACGCTCACTCTCCAGGCTTCTTTGCTGCTGACACACATAAGCTGCCATTAAGATGCAAAACTGTGTCCATGATTTAGGTGCAGACTCTGATTAACTGTACTGCTTCTTGCTCAAGACGTAATAAACTAAACTTTTGATTCAAAACCAGGCATTTCAGATCTAATGACCTAGTGGACTAAGAATAAGAAATACGTTAAAAATGAAAGGAAAAAGTTGGGAACATGATGAGGGAGTTCAGTAGAGAAATAAAAACTATGTTTAAAGAGCACGTGAAAAAGCTAGAAATTAAAAATATACTATCAGAAGTGGCAGGGTGGGTGATGGGCAGGTTTTCAGTGGGTACCACATGCATTGCTTCAGGGAAGACTCCCCTGATGCCCTGATGCCACTGCCATGCAGGATGTCAACACAGCAAAACTACTTGCACCCTACGCACATATACAAAGAAAAAATAAATGGGGAGGAAAGGGGGAAGAATTCACTTGTTTTGCTGAGCAGCGGATTGTATAGGGTAGGAAAAAGAACCAGTGAATATGAAGTTGGGTCAACAGAAATCATCTAAACTGAAACACAGAAATAAGAACATTTAAAAGGAAACAGTGTGTCTAATGTTGATGTGCTTATTTAACAGACGAGTTATGTGAGTATGTTATCTACAAATGTAAGTGCACACGTGAAAAGAGGGTGCCCAACTGTTGGTGAAGCCCTCTGTGGAGGAAAGTGGTGCTGGGAAGCACACATATTTATTTTTTTAAGTAAAAAATACTTTAGTGCATTGAAAAATTACCATCAATGAAATAAAAATCAAAAGACAAAGAACAAAAATATCTGTGGCACATAAAGTGGATAAAGGATCAATATCTTTAATACAAAGAGAACTCATTCTGAACGCTAAAACGTCCCAGTCCACAGTGGGGTGAAGGACATGAACAGGAAACTCACAAAAGAAAAAGGCCTGTGAACTTGAGAATAAAAATTAACCTTACTTTTGCCTTCTCTGCCCAGGCTAGGGTGCAGTGGCACAATCATAGCTTACCGTAACTTTGAATTCCTAGGCTCAAAAGATCCTCCTACCTCAGCCTCCTGTTAGTTGGGACAACAGGCATAAGCCATCACGCCCAGCTAATTTTTAAAATATTTTGTAGGTACAGAGTCTCACTATGTTGCTCAGACTTGTCTCAAACTCCTGGACTCAAGCAATCCTCTTGCCTTGACCTCCCAAAGTGCTAGGATTACAGATGCGACCCACCACCCCAGCCAACCTTACTATTGAAGAAATGCAAATTGAATTCACGATGGACTGTTATTTTCACATATCAAATGGGCAAGATTATAAAAGATAACATTCTGTGTTAGGATACTTAGAAATGAGCACTGAGAAGTACTGTCTATGAAAGTGTACAGTACACGCGTCCTGAAGGGTGATCTGGTAGCTTATCAACGGTCTTACAGGGGTGAATGCCCTTTAATCCAGTGATCCTGCTTCATTCTAGTCTTCTTTGTACCAAAAGGTTGGTTAGTTAGTTAATTAACCTAACCTTTTGATTCTAAGATGAATCCAAACCAGGAAGATACTGAGCTGGCATGGATCTACTTGATGATAATATTTTTACATCCGAAACTACTAAATTAACCCCTGCTATGCAGTCTCCTCTTTTTCCTTAGAAGTAGGCCCCTGGGTCTCAGGTAAATACCTGGCTGCAGAAATAAAGTCTGTACTCCCAGGCTCCCTAGTAGCTGCATGTCCCCGTGTGATTCAAGACTTGCCAACTCTAAGCAAGTATGAACCTCCAGTGTGATTTCTGCCTAGAAATGGTTTTCCCCCACTTACAAGGCAAAATCCAATTTCTCCTTTCCTAGTGTCCATCTGGGCCCTGCTGACCGGTCAGGCTGTGCTAACACAGAACTTCGTACGTGTGTCTGTTCTGACGTCTGCCTCCCTCTGCTTGACTTCCTCATCTCCCTCCCCAGACTGCCAGCCTCTCCAGGGAAGGCCTTATCTCTGCCCTCAGTATCTGGCACAGTGCTTGTCATACATTACTGCTGGGAAAATGTTTGTGAGGAAATGAATGACTGTGTAAAGGAACTAATGAGTGAAGTTAAAGGACATATGTGTCCCTTTGGGGAAATAATAACGCCAAATTATATTGCTTTCAAAACTTAGTAAGGAACCCAAATGAGCAGAACACTGTCCACACGGGACACCAGTACACAAGTGTTTACAGCAACTTGGTTTACATTGCCCAAATGGGACGCAACCGAGGTGGCCTTCAACAGGTGAATGGACAAGCAAAAACAGACAGTGGACTCTTACTCAGCAATAAAAAGAAGTGAGTACAATGAAGAAAAGAAAATCTTTCCAACAAATGGTGCTGGAACAACCAGACATCCACACATTATAAAGTGTAGAGGCAGAACTTACACCCTTTACAAAAATCAGCCCCAAATATATCAGAGTCTTTCTGAGCCACAAAAAGAAAAACAAATGGATCACTGACCTAACGGTAAAGCTCAAAAATATAGAACTCGTAGAAGATGACCTGTAATGGAAAAAAATCTAGACGAGCTTACATTAAGCAACGGCTTTTTAGATACATAAAGGCACAATCTTACGAAGGCAGTTTCTTATAAAATTAAACATACTCTCACCATACGATCTAGCAACTGTACTCCTTGATGTTCACCCAAAAAAGTTGAAAACTTGTGTCCACACAAAAATCCACATACAGATGTTTATAGCAACTTTATTCACAACTGCCAAAACTCAAAGCAAGCAAGATCCAGCAGCTGAATCAATAAACAAACGGGACATCCAGACAATGGAAGAGCATTCTGCACCATAAAGAAAAGAGCACTCTAGCCACAAAAAGCCGCGCGGTGACTCTAAACACCACACACACATTACTAGGTGAGAGAAGCCAGTCTGAAAAGCTGCCTGCTGTATGAGTCCGGCTGTATGATGTCCTGGAAAAAAACAAATCTATAGAGACAGTAAAAAGATCAGTGGTTGCCAAGGGTTAAGGAAACCCTAGGGAAAGATGAGCAGGTAGAGAGTGGTGAATTTTTTAGGGCAGTGAAACGCCTCTATACACTATAATGGTGACACATGCCATCTTACACATTTGTCTAAACTCAGAAGATACAACACCAGGAGTGAACCCTAATGTAAACTACGGACTTTGGATAATAATAATGGATCAGTACTGGCTTATCAACTTTAACAAAAGCCCCACACTAAGGTAAGATTTTGATAATAGGGGAAATTGGGGTAGGGGGCGGGGTGTACTTTCTGCTCAATTATAAACCTAAAACTGCTCCAAAACAAAGTCCATTGATTGTTTTCAAAACTGAGTCAGTCAGTAGACAGTAGACACTATAACATGGGAGTTAAACCCACGAACTTTCACTATAACATGAGAGTTAAGCCCACGAACTTCAGAATCACACTGCCCAGGTTCAAATCCTGATCCTGCCACTTAAAAACTGTGTAACTTTTGGGAAAATGGCTTAATCAATCCATGTCTGAGTTACTGTGAAGATTAAGTGTCACAAAAAGCCTTTGATCTAAGCCTGGTACATATTAAACATACATGAGTGATACTTACTACTAATGTTATCGTTTGCTCATGAATACTCACTTGAGGAAGAAGGTCTGAACATATCTTGAAAAACATTCTTTGAATATAATCTGCAGGGTGAAGAATGGGGTCTCGAGTAGGGACATTTTCGCATTTGAGGCCCTGAAGTGAGCCAGTCTGGTTTAATCGCCATTTTGCGCATTAAGTCCCTGTTATATGAAAGAAAAACAATGACAGCGTGATAAAGCACACAAGTGTGGGCAATTTCCTAGTGGTTCCTTTGTTGAAAGGACCGCTGGAGAGGGTCAGCATCACACCAGTCATGGTCTGCTTACCGATGTTCCAGAGGATTCAAAATGATTTTGGTCTACTTGTTTTTTGGGTTTTTGTTTTTTTTTTTTTTTTTTTGCAGTACCAATTTAGGGCTTGCCCATAAGAATAGCCTATAATGAAGAGGTGTTTGTTAGAAAAAAATTGAACTGCCCAAACGAGTGGATAATGGGCATATAATAGGCTAACTAAACGCTTAAAGAGAAAATCTAGGGAGTGAGATGTCCACAGGGGCTTGGTAAAGCTCCCACATACTCCCGGAAATCTAGAAGGCTGCGCACATGTATACAGTGTGGGAATTCCAGGGCTATCTGCATGTCCAGGAACGGCCTGAGAAGGCCCCACACTTTCCCCTCTGGCTGACCTTGAGGCCGTACAAGCAGGAAGTGAAGGCTAAGACAGAGCTGTCAACCCCCTGGCTGAGTGTTGAAGGAATGCTCCAAACAAGAGACGCTCAGCAAAAACCAGAAGACTTACTGTTTCTGGGCATTTAAAGAAATTTCTGTCCAACCATGAGCTGACATGAAGCTCATGAGACCTCAATGGCCAAACATAACAAAGAATACAGACTTTACAAAGTTAGTTTAGAAAAGTCACTAAACAAGTGAGTAACAACAAACAGCAACAACAAAACACAGGAAGGGATGAGACAGGACTTCCCTAAGTGCCACGTTACATTCCGTAAAATGTTCATTCTTCAACAAAAATGTCTGAGACATGCAAAGAAATAAGAAAGTAGTTCATCCACACTTATCTGCAGAAACTATGCAAGCAAGAAGAGTAAAATACTTATTTAAAGTGTTGAAAGAAAAGCCCACCAACCTAGAACTCTGAATCTGGCAAAATCATCCTTCAAAAATGAAGGAGAAATAAAAACTTTCTTAGGAAAAAGAAAAGAATATTGAAGGAATAGGTTGCCAGGTTTGCCATAGGGAAAATGATACAGGTCAGAAGAAGTCCAGATTTATATCAAGAAAGGAAGAGCATTAGAAAAGAATAAATGAAGGCAAAATAATTATAGATGTACCTAACAACACAACCCCAATACACATGAAGCCCAAACTGATAAAACTGAAAGAAGATATAGACACTTTAACAATAATATAGATTTCAAAACTTAGAATAACTAGACAGATCAGCAAAGAAACAGGTCAATGGAACATAATTTGGAGTTCAAAAATAAACTCTTACATTTATCATTAATTGATAAGGGTGCCAAGGGTGCCAAGACCACTCAAATAGTCTTTTCACCAAATGATTCTGGAACTACTGGATATACATACAGAAAAGAACGATGTTGTATTCTTACCTTATACCATATGCAGAAATTAACTCATGACTGAGTGCTGTGACTCACACCTATAATCCCAGGGCTCTGGGAGGCCAAGGCAGATGTATTGTTTGAGCTCAGGAGTTCAACATCAGCCTGAGTAAGAGCAAGACCCTGTCTCTATCAAAAATAGAAAACAAGCCATGTGTTATGGTGGGCACCTGTAATCCCAGCTACTAGGGAGGCTAAGGTAAGAGGACTGCTCAAGCCCAGGAGTTTGAGGTTGTTATGATCTATGATGCCAGAGCACTCTACCTGGGGTGACAGAGTTAGACTCTGTCTCAAAAACAAACAACAAAAAAAATTAACTCAAAATATATCAAAGGCCTAAATTTAAGAACTACACCTATAAAATTCTTAGAAGAAAATATAAATACAAATCTTGTGACTCTGGATTAGACAATGACATCTTAGGTATGACACTAAAAACAGTTACCTAAAGAAGAAACAGATTAATTGGAGTCCATTAAACTTTTGTGCTTCAAAGGATATTATCAGGAAAGTGAAAAGTCAACCCACAGGATGGAAGAAATTATTTGCTAATCACATATCTGATAAGGGTCTAATATGCAGAATATATTAAGAAATCTTACAACTCAATAATAAAAGACAAATAACCCAACTTTAAAATGGACAAAGGATTTGTATAGACATTTCTGCAAAGAAAATATACAAATGACTGATAGATACATGAAATAATTTTCAACATCTCTATAGTCATTAGAGAAATGCAAATCAAAACCACAATAAGATACCACCTTACACTCATTAGGATGATTGTGATAAAAGAAACAAAGAATAATAAGAACTGGCGAGAATGCAGAGATATTGGGGTCTTCCTATCACTGGTAGGAACGTAAAATGGTGCACATGCTGAGGAACACAGTTTGGCAGTTTCTCAAAAAGTCAGAGTTACCAAATAGCCAAGCAATTTCACTCCCAGGTATACACCTAAAGGAAAAAAAAATATCCACGCAAAAAGTTGAACATAGATATCCATAGCAGCATTATTCACTACAGGGAAGTGAAAACAACCCAAAGTTCTATCACCTGGTGAGTGGATAAAGAAAAAAAGTGGTATATCCATTCAACAGACTATTGATCAGCAAGACAGAGGAATGAAGTATACAGATCCATTGTACGACAGGGATAAACCTTTAAGACATTATGCTAAGGCAAACCCAAAGACTACTATTGCAACTATTTAAATTGCACATGAACTTTATGGCCACCAGGTAAACTGTATAATTCCATTTATATAAAAATCTCCAAAATAGTCAAATCTAGAGACAGAAAGTAGATGTGTGATTGCCAGGAACTGGAGAAAGTGGGGAATGGGACTGCTAATAGGTATGGGGTTTCTCTGGTAGGTGAAAAAAATGTTCTGGAATTAGTGGTAATGGTTGCACAACCTTGTGACTATACTAAAAATCACTAAATTGTACACTTGATAAAGAAGGTATGGTATATGAATTATATTGCAATTAGAAAAAAGAAGAAGGAATTAGAAGAGGAAGATGGAAAGGAAAAGGAGAGGAAAGGAGAGGGGAAGGGAGGAAGAACGGGGAGGGGGGCAAACAGCAGCAGCACCAGGTGGGCCAAGGAAAAGCTGCCCCTGGGCACCTGTGGCAAAGGTGGTGGTTTTCAATGGTTTTTAAAGTAATATGTTTACTTGACAATTATTAAGATTATGATTAAAAGACGTTAGAGGAAGCAGGGCAAAAGCAAGACCACATGTACCCCAGTGAGAGATACAGGGGTGTCCTGCTTACCACGGGCCTCATGAGTCCCCCCAGGCTCACACCCACCATCAGCGCCAACCTGGCTGTGCTTCCCTCCAGCAGTCACCACACCGTTACGTGCTTCGTGATTTTTTAACTCATGGACCCTGACAGTTTGTGACAATGAGGAGTTTGGCTTATTAGTGTTTCAGATAAAAAGGGGAAATTTAGTCTGACTCATTCCTTTCTGGCTACTCTCAGCATGAGAGTAAGAAGCAAGACTCTCCCTTAACTCAAGTGAATCAAGATGGCCAAGCTCAAGCTCCATAAGGAAGTTTTACAGTGTAATTGCCTGAGGCTAACCTTCCCAGCAAAAAAGATAAATAAATAAAAAATAAAGAAATACATAAAGAAATAAAGCCTCCTTACAGGGCTTCATGTACTAAATGCAGGTGTGTAACTATTATTTAACCCACTTATACCAGTGGTTGAGATTTTTGAATTTTTTTGCATGAAATTAATATATGTTACCTAGAAAAATTCAAGGAACAAGAATTTGAAGAAAAAAAATTTTATTATATTCCATTGCTATGTGGTGTTCCAAAAATGGAGCACTAAGCAAAACCACCACATTGTACACATAATGTATAAACTCATGTTTCTCATCTCAGGAGATGGTGACACCAGCTACTCAGTGTGATATTCAACAGAACACTCACACGTAAGGCCACATCACATCTCTCACACTGAAGTGGTGCTCTTACAACATTCAGCACACCACACTGCTTTCCCTGTTTGACTACCACGTGATTCATGCGTCATAATGTGAGTCAATGTTACACTTCTGAGAAAGTCGTCCTGGGGGCGGGGGGTATCTCCAGATAGTGGCATGCCACATGTCCATGAAACTCCAAAAAATCCACTGGCTTCTCATTATGTTTTATGCAGTTGCCATGCATTTTGTAAGACCAATTTGAAGCAGAATGAAAAAGGACTTGGATACCATTTCTTCCCATGGACTGACGCCTAAAACTTTCCCATGTTGTCATCAGCTCTGTCTCCACCTCCCATGCGATATTTATACACTTTGGTCATGATCTTGGGTCTTCTTTTTCAGCTTCAGGGAATAACGACTGACAAGACACAGGGGATTGATACCAGCACCGGATGAGGCAACAGTGATGTCACTGACATCATTCCATCTGCAGACAGTACTGCCTGTGCCATCAACTCCATAATCAGATGTGCCTCGGTCTTTGTCTTCAGAGCTACATCTGATTCCAGTGGAGCTTTGTCAGTGCGATCCTTTCTCACTGTACCTGTTGCCTGATGTTCCACTGAACTGAGCTTATCCAGAAGTGCACTACTAATGAAAAGTTACCTAATACACAGCAGTATTGTCCAGGGAGTGCTCTGTAAATGCCTCACTAAACTGAAGGACAGGTGATGCACTGACACGCATTCCTCATGTTTAGTATTTAGGTTTTTACCCTGGTATGGCTGAAACCAGCTAATGTAACCCGGACATGCTGCACCACACCAAAACTTACAGCCAAATTGGATGGGCTTTCCTCTAAGAAAGTGCTTGCACCACGACGACCAGAATAAGGAACGATGCATTCATCAAAGCTGAAATATGTTTCATTTGGAACCAATTTCATACATCTCTCATTGAGTGTGAGTATAAGAGGTCACAACTTGGAAAGCTTGTCCATTGAGTCCAAATTTTCATTTTCAGCAACATGAAAATTAGAAAACACAGTTTCAAAGTCATCAAGTCTCCTGGTAGCACTAATGAGTACATTACACACATCTGCTCTG